GGCTTGTTCATGGGCTATTCAGTGGTATAAGAATTCTGATTTTTGATTGTCCTATATCAACAAAATTAACAAGATTCTCTTAAATCTATAAAATATGCAAACAAAAAATGGTTCTATTTAATCGAGGATAAGATAAATTTTGGACATTATATCACAACCAATCAATTTGGACTTAAGGAATATAATATGCAAATGCATATAAATCCTAGCCCTACTCATGACTAGAAATATATATATTATACCTTAAAATTTAAACAGAATAGATAACAGTGTAACACTTAAAATAATTTTTTTCAAGTATCATTGGCCCACCCTGCCACTACGGGCTGCGCACACCTATGGTTACATACATGTATTAATCTTTGAGATGTTGAGCATATTATATAAAGCCTTTTTCAGTTTAATAAACAAATTAATATAGGTATACCAAAATAATAATGTAAAATGATCTCATTATGGGCAACAACAACTTTCATAAGTTGTTATCCTAAAATGACGTTATAGTTCACGTGTTGTCTCATCAAACAAACTAGTTATTAATATCATGTTAGTATTCCCTAACAAGTATAATAATGCATAATTTGTGACTTTTAGTGTCATAAAATAATATGCATTTTAAAAGGTATTATTCATCAGTATTATATTATAAAATTACATTTATTTTTGTAAAGTATTAATTTTAAAATTATTTTCAGCTTATGTAATTTGAGATTGGATAGTAAAATTACAAGCTGTATGGATGGATCAGAGTCAAATATTGGTTAATGGGATATGTGCAGAACTTGTGAATTGTTGTTCCTTTTTTCTGTGGTCAAATACATCAAGTCACAATGTCACATTATCCATCATATCATATCCTTTTAATAATAACAAAATCATACATTATCATAATATAATATTGTCACAAATGCTATGAATTAACTAATGTTAATTCTGTCTATGAACACAGCTGGTAGAACATGCAATATGTTTTAGTTATAAATTAGTATTCTATAGTTATTTGACTGTAAAATCTCAATAAGTAATGGAAAACAATTACTTTATATCAATTGTATGTTCATTAACTTTGTGTTTTAAGTATAATCAAAGAACTAAATTGAATTTTAATAATATTTTAATAAAAATTATGCCTGGACTTTGAGTTGAATGGGCATATTTATGAACAGAACCGTAGCAGGGTTTATCAAAAAATTTAACGGTAAAAATATTTTGACATGAAAACAAAATAAGACTGAAATTGTGAAATGTAATAAAATTAAAAACAAAATAAATTAACTTAACTTACTTCTTAAAATGAAAAATTAATTCATACATAAGTGTGTGACTCTGTATGGTGAAGATTTTCGTAAATTGCAAAACAACACCTGGTTAAATGGAACTGTGATTGACGCACTGCTATTGACTTATGTGAATAATGAAATTGGTTATATTCCTGCGGAAATAAGCAATACAATTTGGTCAAGTACCAAAGTTAAAGTAGCCAAATTTGATTGGACTAAATACTGTGTGTTATTTCTTCCTATCAATCCTGAAGGTAATCATTGGACTTTATTTATTATGGACTTCATTTTGGGTTGTGTATTTTACTTGGATCCTCTGCGTCCAGAATCAGGTGACTTGTACTTACCTCGATTAAAAGAAATGTTGTTTTCAATGTGTGGTAATGAATAGCAAAATATTTGCTGCATAAAATGGTTCTTAAAAATATTGAGTATCCTTTACAGAATGATAGTAACAGTTGTGGAGTGTTTGTGTTGTATTATTGTAGTACATACAATCCAATGTTTACTCAGAGCTTTTCAAAGGAAGTTAATGTGAGTGATTTAAGAAATACATTGCAGAATCGATGTTTAATGTACTCTGATAATATCAGTGAAAGATGCCTTATGTGTGCACAAAATATAAAAGTAAGTTTTACTTGGATTAAGTGCAATACATGTGAGCGAAGAGTTCATAATGTGTGTGTAGGTGGTGTATGCTACAAATTTATGACTAAGGAATTGAAAAATGAAAACTTCACTTGTATCTTATGCAATAAGTATATTAATTAAGTAGGTACCTATTTTATAATTACAAAATAATAAAGTACAAAATAAAAACTAATATAAAATAAAGATAAACAAACTAATACAATACCTATTGTAAGTAATGAATGGTTGGTTACATAAGTTGGGTGTAATTTATAAATTACACGTAGAGTAAAATGGAATCCATTACCTAACATAAGATTGAGTACCTATGTAACTAAGTCATATCTTTAAAAGTGGGAATTAACTAGGTAGGTAGTAAAAATGTTTAAATTAAAAAAAAAGTTAATTGTTTTAAAATTAACTTAAATTCAGAATGTAACCAGTTAAATTTATTATTTATTAACTATCAACTTTTGAGTTAGAACAATCTTGTGTTCACTTAACTTAGGTTATCTTGAGTTAATTATATTCATTAACATGCCCACAATTGCAAATCTTAGTGTTAACTCCACCATTGACGGTCCTCAGTCCGTATGAAAAAGGAGGAAGGGCGCTTTAAAGACATTTTTATTTTTTAATTGAAGTATTAAAAATTAATCATGCCTCTCTTGGTTTTAAAGTAATGTATTATTCTTTTAAATTGTTTTTAAATCTTAATATTATTTTCTATATTGTGTTTTTTTTTATTTTGAAGGGTATACCATACTGCCATTGTCCAACTGTGAAGAAGTAGGTAGCCAATTTTAATAGTGCAGATCTTCGAAGACCAGGATGTATAGACGTGTATTGGAAAATGGCAAAATATACATAGTTCAGACTTTAGAAATTTAGTTAGAGATGATTTATGGAAACTGGATTCATTAATCTTTGGACAATCAAAGTAACTTTATGATAAACATTAGTGAAACCCTAATAAATGTATTTTTTTAATTTTGTAGACTATACCATACTACCATTGTCCGACTGTGAAGAAGTAAGGTAGCCAATTTTAGTAGTGCAGATCTTCGAAGACCAGGATGTGTAGATGTGAATAGGAAAGTGGCAACATATACCTAGTTCAGAGTTCAGAAATTTAGTTAGACATGACTACATGAGTTATGAAAATTGTATTCATTAATTTTTGGTCATTCAAAGTAGCTTTATGATAAACATTAGTGAAACCCTAATAAATGTATTATCTATCTAATAACTGTATTAAATATAATTAAATAAGATTTTATATTTAACTTATGATTAATACAGCAAATAACTAAATTACTAATTGGTACAATTTGAATATTCCAATTCAAAATTGTTCAAAGAACTTGGTATTTACATTTTTCTAAAACAAATAATAATTTGATAATAATAATAATAATAATGACACAGTTTAACACTTAAACCATAATAAGGATCAGTGGTGTTCCACAGATTCTGATTTTTTTTTAAACTGTATTCATTACTTTTATAATTTTTAATGACAAATATGTATGTAAACTATTTTGAGCTATTTATGCATTGTTTAATATACTATAAAATTTAAAAACTTATATAAATACTGTTTTATTTTATGGCTGTGTTACACAAAAATGTTATAAAATATTAAGTGTTCAGACATTCAAAAAGGTTATGAATATATTATATATAAAATGTTATATACATTATTATTTATATTATTGGTACTAGAATATTATTACTTTTTTGAGATGTTGATCATGGTTAGTGTAAAAATATAAATTACACTTAAGTAAACGGGGGCTGTGAAGAAAATTAACCGATAGTGTTATACAGTTCATTAGTACATAATATAGTCAGAGTTGTCTATCATAAAGCACTATTAATTGTATGCGTATATTAAATATGCATTTATTATATTGGTATGATTGGTAGTAATTTGTTTTGAATTTAGCAATATAACTTCAGTTATATTTATACGAGATAAATATTTCAATTTTAATGACATTGAACATAAACAATAACGTATAATGATTTATTTCCATATATAATTATTCAAATAATGAATTGTATATGTAAGATTGTTTATTTAAGTTCAATAAGCTGACATGTATGGCGTAGAGCCTAAGAGAATAATAATGAATAATAAATTAACAATCTTATATAATGCTTACCTGAAACTACCTAAACACATAAATAATACATAAGTATATAGTTTAATATGTTATTACTTTTTGTCTTACCAGTTACTATGTTAAGACTCATAAAACATAATCGACATAATCTAAATACCACATTACCACTGCCTAATAAATATACTAAGTAAAGTAGTACACAATATGACTGGAAATTTATGTCATTATATTATATTCAGTTGCAAGGCCACATCCAGAAATTTTTTCGGAGGTGGGTCCATAACATGTATATTGTAATTTTATTGAATTTATATGTTTTGATATTTGGTTGAAAATAAGATATGTTGAAAACATTTCGGCCTTCGGGGGGTAACCCCCCCAGGTACGGCAATGGTCAGTTGTGAAATTGTATTTGTATATATTATAAATATTAAATATTTTTAAATTCAGCGGCCTGCGATAATGTTAATTGTTGTTTATTCCAAGCCAAACTGATATGATATTTTCATCCATGAAAGTGATATAAACCGTTTTTCTAGTGATATAAACCGTTTTTTTTTCTAGTGATATAAACCGTTTTTATTTACTGTCTGGTATTTTTTTATAGTATTCTTGTCTATGGTCGACACCGCCGCCCTATTATCAATAAGTCTTGGTTACCACGAACTAGGTTATGGTTTATAGTTACAATCAAATTACAACACGGAATAAAAAAAATACAGAAATACTCTGTGGTTACAATTATTACATATTCATAATGCACATCAGTTATCAAAGTGATAACACCATTAAATTCGTATTTGAGTATTTGACTATTGTTCATTTTAGTATTTTACATATTTTATAATTAATAAGTAGTTTTTTTTTTAAATTTAAAATTATTATTTAATTCGTAGATTTGGTATTAAATTTGTGATAATTTTTTTTTTTGCTTTTAATATTTTATTAAACTTATTCCAATATGGAAAACACAAGTGTAGAAATGGAAGTAGACGAACCTCAAAATAATGTTTTAGCTACAAATGTTACGGGCAGTGTGTCGATATCTTTACATCCACTTGTCATTCTTAATATATCTGAACACTGGACTCGTTTAACGGCTCAAGTTGGTAGTTCAGTTCCTTCAATCGGGGCATTGATCGGTAAACAAAAGGATCGAACTCTTGAAATAATGAACTCGTTTGAATTGTCATATACCCTACTTGAAGATAATGTGACTATGGTTATTGATAGAGATTACTACAACTCTAAAGAAGAACAATTCAAGCAGGTACGAATGTACGATAAATATTAGCATTTTGTTTTAATATTCAGATCTTTATTTTTTCTAATTTTATACCTATTTATTATATTAGGTGTTTTGTGACTTGGACTTTCTTGGATGGTACATAACTGGTACTGGTTCAGATAAACCGACATTTCGGGATATTGATGTACATAAGCAAATCATAAATATTGCTGAAAGTCCCATATTTTTGAAAATGGATCCTCATGGTGGACATACTGATCTGCCAGTCAAAGTATATGAATCCATTATTGATATAATGAATGGAGTGCCAAAAATGTTATTTGTTGAATTAACATACACCTTATCTACTGAAGATGCAGAGCGTATTGGTGTTGATCATGTTGCACGAATGTCAAGCAATGATGCACAAGAAAATAGTTTGGTCGCTGAAACATTAACTGTTCAGTTTAATGCTATCAAGATGCTCCATAGTAGAGTTAAAATGTTACTCCAGTATTTGAAGGAAGTAAAGAAAACTGATGAATCAGTAAATAACGAATTATTGAGGTGAATAATTTAAATTTAAGTCTTCAGGAAATTTAACTTATATTAATAATTATTGTTAGTATCTAAATAATTGTTTTTTTTTCATCAACTCTCAATTCATAACCAAAATTTCTCAAAAGAAACTACCTAATCTTCTCAATAAAAGAATAGTTTTAGGCACTAGTAACAGGCGGAGATCCAGGGTGGCTAAGAGGCTCTAGCTCCCCCCCCCCCCCATTTATCAGTGTTATACAATATTATGTATTTATTTATGTAATAAATAATTCATATATCTTAAAATCCATAAACTTAAAATATAAATTAAATTTGTAATACTTAATAATATTGTTAAATTGATGGATCTGGTACTAAATATATAAATAAACAATGATTGTTGAAATATAATGGAATCCCATAAATAACAGTCGGATTATCAAAATAAAAATATTTGTTGAAACAATAAAATTCATTGGTACTATAACCAAGCAAGATTTTCAATAAAACCAATTACCTAGATAGGACATCAATTATTATGTAATCGATGTAAAGTAGTTGCATACTGACTTGTATTGTTGTATCAAGGTCTGAATTCCAATATAGTAACTGATGTTATCAGTTAATCAGTAGGTAAATATTATATTTTCTTGAACGCTTAATTGTTTAAATACATTTATCGATACACTTAATTTTATTTAATAAACCTAAATGTGTATATTGTATATATATTTTGTATTTAAAGGGATTCGATACTATTATTTTCTGTTTTTGTCTTACACACGAGCGTATTTTTGCCAAACATTCCAATTGATTTATTGAAGCGATAAGATTTCTGAAAACAGATTTGAATTTGTCGTCAAGTCTATTTGAAATCGACTTTCCCACATTTTTGATTTTTTGATTTTAACTTCTCCAAAAATTGAAATACCCGAATTTTTAAATACTCTTTTGAATATGACATTTAGAAAAATTTGGGGGATAATTTCATAAATGTAGGGAGGTCGATTTCAAGTAGACTTGACGACAAATTCAAATCTGTTTTCAGAATTCTTATCGCTTCGTTGGATCAATTGGTATGTTTGGCAAAAAAAGTCTAAAATACTATGTCGCGAGTGTGTTATACAAAAACAGAAAATCACGGTATCAAATCCCCTTAAGTGCAATTTCCCTAATATATATAATAATAAAATTAATAATCAGTTGCATATTGTTTAAAATTTCAGCCCAAAAATTCATCATATTATGTTCTGATTACAATGTTTGTCCAAGACTATACTCTGTTCCATCTAAGAGTGAACCGCTTTCGCGCACGCAGACTGAGCCGCCGAACTGTGCCTGACCCCACATGGGATGACTATGTTTTCTGTGATTGGCCGACAGCCATCGTTGGGTGCCTGAGCTAACACTCTCACCAATGTCTGGATTGTGGTGGGGATGTGCAGAAAAAACGTGTTTTGGTCGGCCGGGTATTAAACTTTTAGATGGAACAGAGTATAGAACACATTGATTTGCTCACCGTAAATTTGCCTAGCATATCCATTTACAAATAATATTAAAACCAATTACTTGTACTTTTATATAATTGATTATAAATTATAAAATACCACCAATAGCTTTAAATAGAAATTTAATTTCACTTTTAAATTTCATCTCATCTTCTTAAACCGCTTAAATTGTTTTTCATTGCCTTAATGAATTTGCAGATGTATATGTAATGTACTTATATATTTATTATTACATAATATATCATCCAACTACCATACATGAAGATATTATCTTCTTTTTAGAGCTTTTCATACCAGAAAGTTTACCATTATATTGTCCAAGATGGATTTATATTTAAATATAATCAATATAGTACTAGATAAATCAGTTAATTAAAAATGGCTAATTTAATGGTTCTATAAAATATTAAGTATATTATAATAAACAAAATCTTATTTTATTTAGTGTTTGTTATAAAACTAATAATAACCAGAAATATTAGCATAATAATAATAATAATAATAATAAAAAAAAAATCAATTATGAAACCAATAACAATAATTAAGTAAATTAAGTTATAAATTATTTGTCAGTAAAAAATATATTATATTTAAACATTTTCTATTTTCTAGGGAATTCGTTTCTTTGTGTCATCGACTGCCAGTTATGGAATCTGGAGAGTTTTACAGGGATTTGTATACACATTGTAATGATGTAGCACTGATTGCTTACTTGGGAGTTTTGACAAAATGTAGTAATGAAGTAAATGATTACTGTAACAAGTTTAATGCACTTTATGACCGTCAAGTGGTTGGTAGAAAAGTTAAGGCTTTGTTTTTATAATTTTTTTTCCATTTAAAATGTTGAAACTTTATGAATTAATATGTAATAATTCACATTTATTAATACCTTTAAACTTTTGTAAATCGGTTTAGGCGATGTAAACCAATATTGGAAAATAAAAATAAAAACTAAGACTGTCATAATATTGAATAAATGTACAATTTAAGTGAACTTGTTAATATTTTTTTATTTATTTTTTTTTATTTTAACACTTATAAAGCTTAGCTCTAAACTTCACAACATCAATATAGTTGTGCATATTCCCTAAATAAGAATTAGTTTTTAACAAGCTATGTTTAATTTACAAATAACCCATGTACCAAAATGTTTGAGATCACTCAATAGTAGGAATTTAATTTTGTTTTATTTATAAATAGGTTTTAAATAATTATGTTTGAAGAAAAAAATTATCAGTCAAAATAAATATTATAAATAAAGCTTGATATGTGGAGAGCATTTAAGAAAAATAAAAAAGGTGCTTTTTAAATTTTTGTCTACATGCTTGTAAAACTTCAGGTTATTGTCATCTTTATTTCCTAATGATTAAAAAACCAGCTTTGGCTTAATTTAAATGAGATTCTTTTTCATAGTATTATAAATTTTAGCAACATTTGAAGGCCTAACTTCTATATATATATATATATATTTATAAGTATACATTATTATTTAATAATACACAGCATTTGAAGGACAAGTAAGATCAAGTCCACAATTAAAACGTATTTCAAGGACTGTCTTCTATAACTCTATACCTATTTAAATAAGTGGTATCTCAAAATGAGTAAACTAAAGTTACTTCATATGCTTCATTTCCCTAAGTGATTATTAGTCACAATTTAGTGTCTTAATCAAGAATTAGTAAGGGTTATTTATGGTCCGGTTGTCAATGGTTGGTGACAACAACGACTGTAAACTGGTCGATAGAGCATAATATTTTATAGTGTGTGGAGACTGCAAATGTCTATGTGGTATTACTTCACGCACTCCAGGATTCGTTAATTCTTCCTAAATTATAAAAAAATTATGTAAATAACTTTTTTCTAAGTTTTAGTTATTAATTTGTACCTGTAGCGTGAAGACTTCTTCTCAGGATTGGGTTAATTTCATTTTACGACCCGTGATGGTGCCCACCAATGACTTTAATGTAGAACTGATACCTTTCCTTGATATGCCATTTACATTTGGACTATTAATATTGTGACTTAAAGATGCACTTGGATTCAAACCTTGAGGATGTGCATCTAAACATTTTTGGTATCGTAACTGCAAAAATTAAAATAAAATGTAAACAACAATAAATCATCGTATTTAATATTTTGTATGATTTCTATTTGACATACTTTGCATGCAGCTTCGATAGTTTTACAAAGTGTTCCAGCGGATGGATCACACTCGAACACATGTGCAATGAACAGATCTTGGGTAGTATGCATTATAAAAGCGCATTGTTTTATATTTTGACCTATTCCCAAAAATGATAAGTACCTCACTCGACATTCAACCATTTGATCTCCTTCATCCTGAAAATCAACAGATACAATGGATGGTTGTGTTCAGCTTGTTTTTGAATATCTATCATATTACAGTATCTTGTTGTATGGTAATCATTGAAGGTGCTACAGCAACTGTAACCGTTTGGGGTACTGATGTAGGAGAATTTTCCAAAGCGACAATCGCGTCATTTAGTACATCCATTCCGGATGCCTTGCTCACTTCAATTGAACCCAAGTAAGTGGCTCGAATGACTTTACGTGGTTCTTCCATCGGTGTAGGGAATGATTGAGCTTTAAAAATAATATTGCACAATTATTACATAATCGAATAATATAAGAAGGCGTGTGTATACTCAAGTTGGTGGTTGCAGAGTAACTGCCTCGGTAACTTCTACGTTTACGATATTCCAATGGAAGGTTCGTCGGTCTAACCGGCTGATTCATTTTTGTTGCAGTATCTACGAAACGGTACTAATTAGTCGCCTTTTAAAAAAATAACATGTTTTAGTGTATACTTATGTCTGTAGATCTAGAAATGTTCTGCTGGAGACTGCGCTCGATCATGATTTTTTTACAAATGTCCCTAAGAGTGTTAGCAATCGTACGAGCAGGCATGTCACATCTGAACACATGGCACATGTGTCGCCGAGTTATTCTGTCACGAGCTACATACGCAAAATCTCTGAGAAATAATTTTGTTAGTTCGATTTATGGATTTATCTAATGCCACTAAACTACACTACTTTTATATTTTATTATTATTTTTTTTTTTAAAACTCATAATTAAATTGTATACATTATTATTATTACCTTTCCCTGTGGGTAAAGCATTGAAAAAACAGAACAACAATGGATTATAAAAAACAATACATTATTAATGTAGGTAACAATATAAACATGATATCAATGGCTAACAAACCTGCCATTGTCTCGTCCAACTCCCCATACTCTAATTGTGTGTATGGGTTGCGTATTCAACACAGTGAGATTCTCTGGATCTATTAATTTCAACGCTCCTTCATCCAAATCCATAAAAAGGTCTTTTCCCTGAAATGTTATCCATTAAAAAAAAAAATTATATTTATTTAGCAGTTAGGTACTTGGGTATACGGATATAGGTACTCACGTCTCCCCATCGCCCCACATTATCAATAAAGTCGTTACGTCCAAGTGATAGATCAACAATACACTTATTCACAGCTTTGCTACTTCTTTCTGGGGTTAAATCGTCTTCACAAATTTCTACCCATCCCAAAGAACGCACAGCAAATCGTATACCTTTGTTTTCGTTTTCGATTCGAGCTGGATAACTTCTTCGTCTAAGACACATATCACAATATTTAGTGAGATCAACGTCGGTATATATGTTTTGAATGCTATACTATTTAATTTAATATTTTACTTATAAGCCATGTCTTCTTTTCTATTCTTTTGGTAACAAAGATTTTCAAGAGCTGAGCTCGTTGTACTTCTAGTCACTGAACTTATTAAACCTTCAGTGTTATTTTGAAAACTATTTAATACCTTAAACAAATACCGATACATTATATTATATATATAGTATGTATAGTTCTAATAATTAATATTTTAAAGTCTCAAAGTTTTATTTAAAAATTAAGTTAATGTAATTTTTATACGTATAGATTACATATTTTAATTTTTAAGTTTACATGTTAACAAGTTATAGTTCAAATAATTTGTTACTGTTTTTTCTATAGCAATTTAATATTATAGAATTGTTTTTAGTATAATACTATATAGTTTACCTATAAACATTTAATATTTTAAGCTATATTGTCATTACCGATTCTGCATCTTTGACCAATGGTGTTTTTGGTTCATTTTTACCACTGTACTCAGGAGGTTCCCTTTGAATCGTCCCACTTTTAATGTGCCAATAATAAGGACCATCGTTATCTAAAATGGAATTAGTTCAATAACCTATAGCTTATTTTAAGAAAAAAAATCAATTTAAAATTGTACGCACCTTCGTGTTTTTCCCATCCAGCTGGCAATTCATCGGTGCATTCATGTGAATTATTTTTCATTGGAATTGCATACAAATCATTATTCAAATCGCCTTGTATGTGTTGTATATCCATATTAATATTAGATGTATCCTTTTGTTTGTTCAAAGATAGAGTATTGGGTGGAGTGCGTTTTTCGTTTATACTATAAGGTAGGTATATATTATATATTTTTTATTTGATCATTAATACATATAATAATAATAATAATATAACATCTACATAATAAATTAAACTTGTATTATTAATTGATCGAATAAACTTACTTCCCGCCTTTACATTTTGTTTGCTCCGATTCTTCGATTAAATCTGGTTTTACGTATGACACTTGCATTTGGTGGTTTTGGTTGCTAACGTTTGTTAAATCATGTTGATTTGTAATATTCATGTCTCTTGTCACGTTACGATTTAAATTGGTATTCCTATAAAAAATCACATGATTTACTGCAGTTTTGAACTTGAATTTTAATGTCAAACCAATATATTACCAATTTTTTCCGGTTTGTCCCAACACGTCCACGCCCATTGATCCCAAGTCTAAAGATTTGTAGCGTTTTCTGTTGATGTTGTCTGTATTAATGTTACAGACTGTGTCAAATTCCCGACATAAAAGCTCTGAGTATAATATACAGTCATCATTCAAATTGAACCCAGCTGGAGAGTCAGTAGCTGATGTTAGGTTTGAGTTCAATGCATCATCCAGGGCTAAGTGTCCAGTTCCAGCAAGATGATAGTTTGGATTTTCGTAACTCAGACGACCGTTTTCTAAAAAAAAATTCAACATTTTTGTGAAAATGAATAATAATAATTATTATTTATTCATTTTTTGTTTATTTTGGATTCAACCACAAATACATCATAGTCGTATTTTTAAGTTATAGTTGGAACATGGTTATAATTCACAATGCTCATTTTTATAATATATCTTTAACAAAATGCTTTCTATAGCTATACTATGGTAAAATATTTAACATTTAGATAAATACCCATACTGTCACAGTCATAGACTATTATTTTTATGACGATATATCTATGTCTTTGTCTATGTATATAAAAGTTGTAATATATCTTCTCTTGGTTAATTTTATTTTAAAATGAGTTAAAAGTACTAAAATTATTAACTTTCCATACAACTTGTTTTAAAACCTCTTTGCCTAGGCAAAGTATATATTACTCTCTAAAAATCCGATATTATGTAAATTTGCTCTAATATTAACTATAAATAAACTATTATACTTTTTTTTATAGTAAGAATCTGGTACGTAGATTTGTTATGTCGCGGGTGTGATAGAGACAAGACATGCAGGTGTAGCACTGTAATGTCCTCTTAACCGTTAATTCAAATATAAATATTTACACATGTGTACTAGGTATACATAAATATATATTCATTAGTAAATATTAAAAGCCAAACATTATAATATAATACCAAATAGTAAATAATTGTTAATAGTGATAAATAGATTCTAGTGTTTTTTAGAATTTAATAATTATCTACCTAGATATTATTATGGCTAATTTGACAAGTTAGTTTAATGAAATAAACTAATAATACCTGTATGGCTGTATACCTATATTTATTAAATCATTTAACATAATATTTTAGTTAGAGCTACTACTCTACTAGCTAGTTAGTAGTTTCCTTAAAATATTCAACAAAAGCTCATTAATTGTTGTAGGTTTATTGTTCGAAATTATTTTCAATTGTTAAATTGTTATGTTTATAAAAAAAATAACCATGTTTACGTATCTATTTTCGAGACAAAGTAATAAACAAAACGTTAATTTTAAAAATAATTAATCAAATTTTTAAGTTTATACTTATTTTATTATGAATAATTATTAATTTATTAAATCATTTATAAAAATAAATACGCACCCACAATTACTTGAACATGGTCCATTGATAAAAGCATAATAAATTATATTGTTATGGTAAACTAAATAAAGAAAACGTATTATTATGCGTAGTACAACTGTAATCGTGTGTAGTAATAATCATGCGCATAGTAAACCAGCTAGCTCGTCGCTATATAGTAGAGATGACTCATAACGCTCGAACATAAAAATCGATATATATATGGGGTATACCTACTCCCGGATGAATAATATACAGTTTCTCAAAACAAAATAAAAAATGCTTCTGCCATTAAACTCTAGAGCCAGTCTAGATGATTTGAAATATATTATATTATTATATTATGATGGAAGATTTGTACTAATCATTTTTTTTACAAAGAATATCTATTATTTGCCCAACTGTTTAAATGAATACGATTAATTTTTAATTTCGGGAACCATGCTTTGTACTATTGTAGAAATAACCAAGTACTTTGATCAGTGTATATTATAAGTAACATTTCAAAATTCGATCAATATTTAGAAATGTTATATGCTATTTTGGTAATAATATTATAGATTAAATACCTATAATATTCCTGTATACACCTACATAGTATATAATGATAAGTTCATTGTACAATTAGTCACTTACCATTCATCTATTATAGGCAAAATTAGGGTGTTTTCAAACCGACCAGAAGGGGCCAGAATGGTTTGCTCTGTAGTTAAGCTCCCCCCACCACAAAAAAAAAACTGATCATTTACCTACACGACGTAATATTCCATAAGAAAAGTATTTTTTGGATTTCATCAAAATAATCTATAGCCCCTAAAATATAGTTTATTTGAGCTTATGCGCTTAACACTTAAGCACCTATACCATAATAACTAATTAATATAAATTACAATAATTAAGTAGAAATTAAAATGTTGGTAATTATTTTTATGAATAATTACTAAAATGTATCATTTAAAAAATGATTTCTTTTAAATGCATTTTGTTTTCATATATCACTGCCAATTAACTTCACAAATAATACGACGAAGGTACAAAATAATTAGTAATTACCAAGCAAATTGTCGTCTTCAACAACTGCAGCAGTCATCATCGGATATAGTGACGACAACAACGTAGCGTATGGACTTCGATTTGGGGATCTAATTATTTCACCACACAACATACCATACGTGTTCTGACCTCAAATTATGCACCCTGGAAAACACAAATAAATACATGAGTAATTAAGTAATTTATTAATATAAGATATAAATAATAAGTTAACTAATACTATAGCACTCATAAATTATATTATTTTAAACACTTCATTATATGAACAACACATACCTAGTTATAGTTGTTTTCAAATTTTCAATTAAATCGAGTTAACAACCAATAAAATATTTAATTAGTGTTTGATCAATAAGCGTGTTTTTAATAAATATAAATTACTAGTAATATTTTTTTTTCGTTTGTATTTATAACTTAATATGTAATTCAAATAAAAACTGATATACTTAATATTCGATATTAAATATTATTTTGTTAAATCCCTATACAAGATTATCAGTAACTATTACATATTTTAATATTTTATAATATAATATAATGATTTTTTTTATACTTTTAGGGCAAACTTGAACGTTAGATGAATACATTATAATATACGACAAACTTTTCATAATAATTTACATCACATTATATTTCAACCGACTTTCCGAAAAGTTATAAACGTTTATTGAATATTTGATGGGTAAAGTAACTATATTAACTTAAGGTACCTATTGTAAATAATTATTTCTTTTTATTCAAAACGCTAATTTTTTTAACCATACTATTGGTACCTATATATAATATTATACAAATACTATTTAGACATTTAGTTAAACGAAATAAACATGAACGATCAGTATTATCTATACAGTTCAAAAACAATCCCTTTATAAATCTAATTATGAAAAAATCACGAAATCGCAATGCACCAATACAATGACGATTACAGCCCAGAAACGAGTTTACATGACGAGGGCGTGAAATGCGTGAAATGTTAAGACGGCCGACGGGACGTATTCATTTCCTCCATCCTACTGGCAATATTGATTGGGTCTGAGCGACCATTTTTGGCGCCACAAAGGCTGCACTTTATTATACTAGTCTTGCGTGGCGGTCCGAAATTAAAAAAGACATATAGACTTGTTGGAGCCAAGTGCATTATTTAAATCAGTCAACTAAAACTATTAGGTTATTTGTATTTTGCCGAATCCATAGAATATGCACAATATTAATATTATAATTGATGATTATTATTGTGAACATTTTTTTTTCATTATTATGCACCGATTATTTTATAATATTGGACTACATACGCGTCTAAGGCGTTGATACTTCACATAGTTTATACGTTTGAATATACTTATATTTAATATTAATCATAGTAGGTAGGTACTATTTTATTCCATAAAATATTAATGATAATTTTTGTCTTAGTTTTAATTTTATTGTATAATAATTTATGTTAAAAAATTGAAATATCCAATAACCTATCGTGTCTGGTGTCTATCGGTAGCAAAAATCTTTATTATTTTAATTATTTGTTCATATAATTTATTAGTTTGTAAATATATATATTTAAAATTATATTTATTACTTACCGAGTAATTACTAAATATAAAACAAGATTATTATAACGATATACCTACAGATAACTTATTACTTTTTGAGTTAATCTGAATTTAATACTATTTTCTAATATTAAAGATACAAGCCTAAGTATCGATTATGCTATCAATTATGTACTAATATATTGGTATAATATCTAATGAAATATCATAAATATATATAATTCATATTGATTTAATGAAAATAATTATAAAATTATTTTTAGTACAATTGTGTACAATATACAACTTTATTGAAATATTAAGTAATACTAAAATTTAGTAAAATCACTAAAAATTGAATGAATCAATAGTGAGCCAATGATCCCTTAAATATGATTTACTGGCCCATGATCGGTTCATTAAGATTGTAGTGAACTATAACATAAATAATTATTTTATACAACTCGGCACTAGTATATTTAAAACAAATAAAATAACAAAAACAATGATGACAGAATGTGACATTTTGGCTAAAAGCTTAAAACCAACGAAGTGTTTGACATATATATATATATAATACAATATACATTCGTGTATTATTATGTACTATTACACGATCACGAGAATAATTATATATTATATTATGTATTATACTCACAAAATATGTTTTTCGACAGGATTTGGGTGATTTATAGCCTTGAAATAAAAGTTACAACTAGCGTTCGACTGTCACCGCAGCGCCGAAATGACAAACAAAGTATAAGAAACGAGAACCCAGCTGTTGGTCATTAAAGGTTAGTCAGGCGCAGGACGCAACAATACAAACATGGCCGACGCTAGAGGGTATCGATTATTTTTCCTGCGCTTGCACACACACAAGCACACACACACGCATTACACAGACAGGCGAGACATTAATAATTTTAAAACGGGATCGAACCAGGTTTCGAAGCGTTGAAATGTCTGGACAAATACTTAATACAGAGAACGATTTTGACAGTAACGCGAAACTTTTTGCAAAATATCGCTGTGCTGATGTATGATAGGTATATATATTATATAATAATTGGGATCAAATAGCACTACAAGCATTACGAAAAAACGATTTTAGCGCACGGTTCGTTTCCCGTTCGCGTTCCTGCAGTAGTGCAGTCGAGTGAAAGCGTACGACATGTTTATAGCTCGCGAGGAGTCTGCACTATATATATGTCTATATCTAAAATGCTACTTAACTCCGCGTATAATGTATACTATGTATTACAATAAACTTTTCACCATATCTATCCATTTTTAATAATCATAATATACTATCATCTTGAATAGCATACGCGAAGCACATAATGTATACATTATGTATATATACCTAACTACAACCACACCTAGTTTAACTGATTTATATATACATTTCGCACTGTTTTATCTTCTGCCAAAGGTCGAGTATTTCAAAAAGCTTTTAGCGATTAAACAAACAATCATACTTACGCCAGTGGGTTAGTATAATATGTACTTCCGTATTATGAAAATATTATAATTACTTTTCGCGTGCAGTGTTTATAATATTATAGATGCATTATAATTATTTTTGTATTTACTATAACGTCAACGAGATACTGTTTTTTTTTATTATTATATAGATATCGTTTCACTGTTACAATAGCTGATGAGAATTAACCAAAAGTATAGTTATTACACAAATACATGATACCCATGTATGCTGTATACATAATAATATGCATGGAACTTACGGCTTTGGAAAATACTTTTGGAAGGAAAATGACTTTTGACACATTGGAGCTAAAGGCAGTATTCGTATCGCACTAAACACAAAAAAGAAAAGAAAAAAAGTTGCACAGCAGAAAAATTAACCTCGTGGAACTCACAACATTTAATCCAGAATCGAATTGGCGAATGACGAGACCATTGGAATAAAAGACCGCGCGCACTCGGTCTCCTGATAAGGAAATAACGACCCGGCCACTGCGACGCTGCACATGATAACGGTACCCTGGATGACCTCGTGTGTCTGTCAACTTATCGTGTATTCGTGTATTCCTGTGTATACAATGTAATGTGCCTACTGCAGCTTATATAGGAGAATGTAGACTACACTACCTTTATTCATCTGAAACAACGAAATCACTTTTGAAAAACGATTGTCCGAATTCGATTCGATACAAAAAAAAATTGTGATTTAGAAACAGGATAAAATATAGGGACCTTGGGATCTACCTATTGGCTATTTATATTAAATTAACAAAGAAATATTATTGTACATTTCATTGTCGTTTGAGAAATATCCACATATTAATATTGAATTTAAGAAGAATTTAATAAAAACAAAAGAGAACGCGCTCTAGTAAATTAATTGAAAATGCTTCTTTATAATCATTTTTTCTAAAAAAATATTTCTTTTTAAACTAACCATTAAGTAATTTCATCAATTCCAATTAAAAAAGACTCAAATATTTTAATCTCTACAAATAATTTTATAAATTAATTTGACGAGTATACTAAAAATTAATTTTGGTATATACGCATATTTGATACCTTACCTATCTACACTTTTTAGATTAAATACACAGTAGGTACTGGAAAAAAATTAATTAAATTAAATTAACCAGTAGCCACAATAGTTATAAATTAATGTCCCATTTAGCATTGAGATATAATTAATAACAAATATCGAATACAATAATATTGCATCAACTACATCGGCTTATTTAAGCCACTGTCTTTTATATACATAATAATATAACATAATAAATAACTATATCAATATATTATATACATATTATTAGGTGATTATTTTTACTGTAAATACTCATTATTTCGAAATTACTTACTTTTTCTGAAATTTCTTTTTCAAAATGTAGAACACATGAAATATTGACATTTTATATTGCCCTTATTTTTTCCACCTTATGTGTTGGTGAAACCTCAACCATTATTGATTTTTAAATGACATCCTATATTTTTAATTACATGATCAGAAGACGGAAGTAGACATTAGAAATATCTACTGCAGTGTCGTACTGTCGTCCTTAGACCGATTTGCAGGACATCAAATGGTAAACTCAATAAATAGATACAAATATACAATAAATTCTATTATACGCATTAAGTAATTATAATTATTAATTATACATACAGACATATAGTGGAACCACTATAAACATTCTCGGTGACTGAAATGTTGTCCACTTTTGGTTTGTGTCTGCTATATTAAAATACTTAGGCGCTTATATAGGGGGCTTAGGGGCTTAAAGGGCCCAATCATTTCCTATATATTTTTTAAGGTGATTATGTATTATTACATTAGGGATTCAGTCCCTCCCCCCAAAAAAAAATCTCAGACACTATTTACCATATCAATAGCTTCCAATGCCAACATTCTGGGAGACTATGCGTCTATGCGATTAAATGGGAACGCTTCCGTAGGCGAAATTCAGGCATCCAGCAGTGATCTATATAGAACCCGACTTACTGCAATACCTACTATTTCATATTTTTAACAGAACGTATTTGTATTTATCTACAAAAATAGATATACAGGATGCTTATTTAAAGATAAACATTCATTTAT